TTTTTTTTTTTTTTTGGTACTGGTGATTGAACCCAGGGCTAAGCCACATTCTAGCCCTTTTTATATTTTATTTTGAGACAAGGTCTCATTAAATTGCTTTGAGCCTTGCTAAATTGCTGAGGAGTCACTGGGATTACAGATATGCACCACCACACCTGGTTATGAGAAGTGCTTTCATCTTGAGCAACAGAAGGAAGGAGATGTTGAGTAATTCTAGTCTTTGTTATAAAACTTAGAGTTAGTGTATGTTGCTGGGGTGGTGGCTCATACCTGTCATCCCAGTGACTTGCAAGGCTTAGGCAGAGGATTGTAATTTCAGGCCAGCCTCAGCAATTTAGCAAACTTAGCTAGACCCTGTCTCAAAATTTATCAAAAAATGTTAAATGGCTGGGAATGTAGCTCATTGGTAGAACATCCCAGCATTTAATCCCAAGTACCAAAACAATAAAAGAAAAAGAAAGAAATAGTTATGTATATTAAAATTTAAAGATAAGTGCTAAATTGAAATTCAAAATTATATATTCATTTTATCTTATTGCATGTGAAATGAATTTGCAAAAAATTTCTAGAATTAAAAAATAATATAAACTTGTATTTCCTCATATATTACTCAGGGCTCCTAGGTACAAGTCATATAAACTCTGGCTAATTTGAGCTAAATATAGATTTTTTGGAAAGATATTAGGTGTCCTACAAGAATAACAGAAAGGCTGGAGAACTAAGTTCATAAAAGACAGGAATCAAGGGAGGACAGACAGAAGGAAAACACCTAAGGTCACACTAAGGTGCTGTCCAGGTAGGTTTTTGGGGGGTTCTTGTGTCTGTTCCCATCACCAGACATTTCTGAAGGATGCACTCACCACCATGTACCACTTCCACTCAGTGATAGGCTACTGGTCCCATTTAACTGTTTTGACTTTGTGGATCGGCTAATGTCCATTTCATGATTTAAGTTAAATGGTCATCTGATGAATCATGGTCAAGTTTTCCACCATTGTCAGGTATTTAGTATCTAAAATGGCCCAGAGTTTGGTGAGAGCTATTTTTTAAAGGAGTATTGCTCTACCTTAAAAGGGTAAATTCAGCTGAGCATGATGGTGCACACCTGTAATCCTAGCAACTAGGGAGCCTGAGGCATAAGGATTAAAAGTTTGAGGCCAACATCAACAATGTAGTGAGATCCAGTCTGAAAGTAAAAACTTTAAAAAAGGAGGAGGAGGAGGAGGAGGAGGAGGACGACGACAACAACAACAACAACAACAACAACTAGGGGTGTAGAGGTATAAGGGTTTTGGTATGGGGTTCACTCCCCAGTGCCAAAAATTCTTTTTTAAAAAGGGTAAATTTTATGGTATGTAAACTATGCCTTAATAAAGATATTATTTTTAAGGGCAACTGAGTTGTTTAATATTTTACTATGGTCTCATTTTTCTTCTTTATTGAAGTTTCTATTTTCTCTAGAATTGATAATTGCTTTGATTTCTTGTTTGCTTAATTTTTATGAGCCTCTCATTAACTTCAAAATCTCTTCTTCCAGAGTTTAAATATCCTCAGTACAGTCACATACATCACATATTTTAATTTTCTTAGTACTGTAGTACTGTTTCCATTTGAGTTCTGGTTCACTGATTTGTTTGTTATGTATAGGAAATGTCTTTAACCTTATTTCTTTCTTTAACTGTTTTTGCTATTTTTCATAACAGAGGGGAACTCAATTATCTGTCTTGCTATATTCTTTCACCCTCTCCCGCTGCATCTTCCCTCCACTTGATTTTTGGATGGATTTATTCAGATTAAGAAGGTTATTATGAATATCTGTTAAAATTTAGCAAATGTTTTTCTTTTTCCACTGAAAGGATACTATGATTTTTCTCCTTACTTTGCTAATACTTTACACACTGATTTCCCATGGTTGAATCAATTTTGCCTTCCTGGAATAAACCTAGCTTGGTCACTTAATCATTTGTATGCTAAAATTTGGTTTAGAATTTTTATGTATGCATTTATAAGAGACATTGACCTAAGTGAATTGGAAGTTTTCCGTCTTCTTTTTTCTGGAGAGTTTATGTAAGGGTGAAATTATTTACACCTTAAATGCTTAGTAGAATCTCAGGAAGTCATCTGATACTGGAGGTTTCTTTTAACATTTTAAATTATAAATTTAATTTAAGAAATGGTCAAATTTCTCCCCATTTGTATGTTTTTCTAAACTGGGTTTTGTAGGTTTTTTGTGGGTTTTTTGAATTTTCTTCAGTCTGTGTATCTTTGCAAATTTATCAATTGTGTTTTTTATTATAAACATACACTCATTATTTTTAATGTCTTTGAAATTGCCCCTTAAATTCCTAATATTGGTAATTCATGCCTTCTCTCATCTTCCTTCATATTTCATCAAGGACTTATCAATTTTATTAGTCTTTTGAAAAACCATCTTTTTTATATTCTAATTTATTTATTTCTGTTCTTATCTTTGGTGATTGCTTTGTTTCCTTTCTTCTATGAGTTTAAATGCTGTTAATAAATACTAGGATTATTAAAGTCAATCTTTCTTTTTTAATGTATGCATTTAAGGTTATTTTTTTCTCTTTGTAGCATTACCTGAATCCTACAAATTTTGACATTTGATATTTTTATTAACATTAACTTAAAAATACAATCTGATTTCCATTGTGATTCCTTCTTTAGCTCAAAAGTAAATTAAAAGGTTATTGCATAATTTCAAATATTTGGGGATTACCTATTTCACTTCCACTGTTATCAGCTATCTTAGCTCAGGCTGCCTTAACAAAACACCATAGACTAGGTGGCTTAACCAACAGCATTTTATTTTTTGTTTGCCTGGAAAATCCAACATCAAAGTCAGGCAGGGTTTAATTATTGGCGAGGACTCTTCCTGGCCTTCAGATATCCAGTTTCTCACCTTCTTGCTGTCTGGTAGAGAGTGCAAACTCTTTGATGTGTCTTTTTATATAGGCACTAATGTCCTCATGAAGGTCCTGAACTCATAACTCTAACCCTAGTTATTTCCCAAAGGCCCCATCTGCACACAGCCCACTGGGAGACAGAGCTTCAACATGTGACTTTTGGGGAGACATAAACCTTTAGTCTATAACATATATTCTGTATTATTTTAATTTTTTGATTAACTTGTTTCTTTATGCTTATAATTTATAACTTTATTTAGGATTTAGGGTATATGTTCACATGAAAAATTTATCTATATATTTATCAGATTTTGTGCTCAGGTTTGGCTAATTGCACAATATGCATTAAAATATTTTAATCTTCTACTTTGGAAAATTTAAGGTATTTGGGGAATTCACTTGTTCCTTGAAACTTTGTAGAGATTTGTTCACAAGAGGAGCAGGGTCCAGACCCCTTCTTGAATGGGACTGCTGTAGTTTCCTAGAAAGTTACCTATTTCATCAATATTTTCAAATATATTCTTAAATTTGTGTTCTTATTAATATTTGTCTTCTTGATATGGGAAGAGCTTGGCAAAACATTTTAAAGCTTTCAAATTTTCCAATTATATTTCTGTTCATTATCTTGCATCTAACAGCTCATACTTCATACATATTTAGACTTTTTATTCAATTTCTGTACTTTAATAATCATTGTATCTTCATTACAAAAATTTCCATATAAATAAAAATTTTCCTCTTTGTCTTATTGTAATTTCATTTTCCCATTATATATACAAATAAAACATTTATTATAGAAAATTAGAAATGATTAGAACAAAATCACTTTTCAATAAACACTAATTTTTTTTTAAGAAAACTGATTTTTTTCTCCAGGAATGAATGCTCATTATAATAAAATTCAGGAAAAAATATAGTAAGGATGAAAAGAAAATAACAATCTTATCACTTATCACTGTTAACATTTAGATGTACAAATATGCAGAATTTTCTGCATACATTTATTACTGCATAAAATATAGGATTATTTTTATAAGCCATTTTATGATCATCTTTTCTAATAAAAACACCATGAATGCATTTGCATGTCAGTTGTCCACTTTATTACTTTAATGGCTTCTAGAATTGTACTCTGTGCATGAACAAGTATTTATTTTGTACTTTCTGCATTCACAAGTATTTATTTTGTCCTTCATTGCTGAATATTTAGATAATTTTTCATTTTGTGAAATTTTATTTTATTTTTTTGTCTTTGCTACTACAAATTACTCTGGAGCCACCATCCTTTTATATACATTTTAAGCAATTTAAAATTTACCTCATGATGTGTATCTACAGTAATTAGTTTCATTTTCACTAAAAATTAAATTTTCACAAATTAAAATGAATATAACACGTAATTTTTTTAACCCATCACTTGGACAGAGATGTTTTAGATAGTATTATCTGGCTTGGCTCTCTCACATGCTTCTGCTGGGTGTAAATTGGGAGAATCTTCCTTGAAGGCAACTTGGAAATATGTATTAAAAGCAGCTGCCCTGGTTTTTCATTTTTACAGATGTTTCATGAGAAAACCTGATTTTTCCAAGATCTTATTGCAAAGGAATCACATTATATTTATGTTGTAAATCCACTCCTAACATAAAGGAATTTTCTTAGGGATATTCCAAATAATGAATCCAGGTGCCCTGAAGATTTCCTGAAGTGTGTTTTTGAGCATTTAAAATTTCTTTTGACACCTATATAAATCATCATTGCCTTGGGACTCTACTCAAAACCAAACCAAGATTTTATTTTTGATAGATGGTGGTAAGGCAGGATGGGAACAACTCTGCTTCTTTTCACTAGACCTTTCCAAACGAGTAAGATCTTAAAACACTTCCCTGACATATCTTCCTTTCAATACTACATTTCTGTATTTTAATTGCATACATTGATGGAGATGCTGTTGCTGTGGAATTTTTATACAGTGTATAAAACCCAGAAGTGCTGAGAAGAACTTAAAATTGTTCATGTAGACTGTTGCACTTTGTCTCACTGGACAATTCAACTTTCCCCACTTGGCTTTTTGTGTAGGTGGCACATGGGCTCCTGGGGTCCCTGCTCAGCAACCTGTGGTGTTGGAATCCAGACCCGGGAAGTGTACTGCCTGCACCCAGAAGAGTCCCCTGCACCTGCTGAGGAATGCAGGGATGAAAAGCCCCATGCCCTACAAGCATGCAATCAATTCGATTGCCCTCCTGGCTGGCATATTGAAGATTGGCAGCAGGTACAGCAGATTGGTGACCCCATGACCTGCCATGCTTATGACAGTGAGGAGCCCTGCATTGCTGTACTCTAGAGTGAGCTGAGCCCACTGCCTTACCTCCTCTTGTCTTCTTAGTGTTCCAGGACATGTGGTGGGGGAACTCAGAACCGAAGAGTCACCTGTCGGCAGCTATTAACAGATGGCAGTTTTTTGAATCTCTCTGATGAATTGTGCCAAGGACCCAAGGCATCGTCTCATAAATCCTGTGCCAGAATAGACTGCCCCCCACATTTGGCTGCAGGAGACTGGTCAAAGGTAAGGACTATTCTCAACTTTACAGTTTCTTCTTTTCTGTTCCTCCTTTGTTTCAGCCTCTTAATAATTCCTCCACAGGATCAGACCAGGACTGCTGTGAGATGAGTAGGGTGTGTAGGGTGCAAATTTAAGAAGACACTCTCACTCTTGGGGTCATGACTGGGTGAGGATTCAGGCCTGATCTCAATTAATCATTTTCAGTTTTTACACCATATTATTTAAACTCTTCTCATAATTTTTTCTCCCAAATGAATCCCTTCTTTGGGAGGTACTAGCATCATAGTATCCCAGGATAAACTCAAAATCAGTTTGGTTCCTTTCTTCCTTGTGTTCCCTCTTAGAATTATTCATTAAACCCTGTCATTTCAACTTTCTGAACATCTTTATACATTTATATCCTCTACAATCTGTTGCTATTATGGTTAATTTTGCCCTTCATCATTTCAAGGTTGGATTATTGCTGTAAATTGAATTCTAGCACGTTGTCTTGTGTGGACAGGAATCAACACAATCTGGTAATGATGCTTTAATTTTTAGGTGGGAATATTAAAGCCCTAGAACTTTAAATAAGATGTTCAAGCTCATACAGATGACAATGTAGGAGCAGAATCCATTCCTGACTTTATTCCAAGGGTTCTTTCTGTTATGAAACTGTTCACTTGATCTACTTGTCTCCATATTACTCTCCCATCTCCAGGCTATCTGATAAACCATAGTATCTCCATCACTGTTTTCATCAAATCAACTATTTGTGCAGAATCTTCCAGGGTCTTATTACTTGCAGAATCAAGTTCCCCAGAGTCTCCCAGGGACTTTCTTGGTCTGATGGTCTTCTTATTGCAATCTTTTATTCTTATTCCAGCTCTTTATCCTTATTCTAGACTTTTGCTCCAGTCTTGCTGTATCTTTAAAATATATAGATCTACAGGCTGAGGTTCTTAGCAAAGATTCAGAAACAGATAATTCTCATAAGTTGTGTTGTCAGTATTTTTGAACCTCCAGTCACTACCATAAACTGTCTTCTAAGGGTAGAGAGCCAATCTCAACATCAGAAATCACCTTAAGAAATTAGATAGGGCAAGCCAGGCATGGTGGCAGTTTCCTGTCATTCCAGCAATTTAGGAAGCCAAGGCAGAAGGATCACAATTTCAAGGTCAGCTTCAGCAACTTAGCAAGGCCCTAAACAACTTAGTGAGACACTATCTCTAAATAAAAAAATTTTTAAAAAGGTTGGGGATGGAGGTGCTTCTGAGAAGTGGGCGCGGGAACGGCTCTGACCAGCCCGCAGACCTCTGCGCAGCCAGGAGGGGATTGTCTCGCGAGAGGACATCGGAGGCTCTCAGCACCTGGTGAATTCCAGGAGCCCCTGGAGGTTTTGCTAAAGAGGAAGCATTCCGAGAGGGGAAAGATGGCGGCGAGGGGAGTGCATTGCCCCCGTGTGCTGCTTCACTGTGTGGGAGTATGACAAGTCAGGACGGCTAAAGGATATCTTGTTAGGAATTTCCAGCAATAGTGGGGTGCTCCGGAACCTGGAGGAAGGATTTCCATCGCACGAGGATCAGCTACGGGGACTCAAACGCGAGAGGTTTGTCGCACTGCTTATTCAGCAAATCGGCCTGAGGCTAGAATCTGCAGCGTGTGCTGGGATAGAGACGCAGGGTTACAGCGCTGCAGTTTCTGCCAGCCGCGCAAGCACCGTACTCAGGGCTGAATTCTGGGTTCGAGACGGGGGAAGGAAGCGGTCCATCTCGGTTCTCCACACCGGTCAGACCACAGAGGAGGCCAGCAGCCACCATGTTGGTAAACTGACGTCACCACCGCTGTTTTCGACTGACCGCAGCTCATTCAGCCATAGAACAGGTAATTTCAGGCTGCAATTCGCCTGCGGCTTGCAGACAGATTGCTAGGGCTCAGCGCCTGGGTGCTTCTTAGAACCTGATCTTATCGGAGTGAACACCCAGCGCGGGGCGGCCGAGTTCCGGCTCCCGGAACCGCCCTGGCCCAGGGCTGCGGAGCCTGCGGAGGCTGCTTCTTGGACCCTGCGCCTACCAGAGCATACAACAAGCACTAAGCAGCCATACGGCTCCCGGAACTGAGCCCGCGGGGACTGCTTCTTGGAGCTTACATTTATAGGAGCTTACACCGAGCACGGAGTGGCCGAGTTCCGGCTCCCGGAACTTCCCTGGCCCGGGGCTAGGAGCCCGCGGAAACTGCTTCTCGGTCCGGGTCCTGCTGAGGGCCGGTCAGGACTCACCCGGTGCTTTGGTTGCCCGGCAAGGGGAACGAAATGCTGCCATTCGCATAGGATACCAACATGGCAGAGATCTGATGTCTGCAGAAAGCGGCGGAGGAGGGAACTTCATCAATACCAGTGGTGACATAAGCAGTTGGTCTCCTGGTAGGGGGGGTGAGGCACAGTCACCCGAGTCTCCTCAATTTGTCGTCGAGCCAGAGGGAAGGAGCCGGGC